CCGCTGAAAGTTCATGGCAGGGATTGAATAAGGAAAACAACCAAGGGAAATATGACAGAGAGCAAAAAGGTGTAAAAGAACATAGCTGTACGGTGGTAAAGTTCTGACCGAACGTTGCTGCATTTTACTAAGAGTTTGGCAGCTGTAAGGGCAACTCCAAGCACTATGCCAGGGATGCTGGAAAAAAGCACCAAAATGGCCTGGCAACTATGTGCCTGCCAGTGCTTCAAATTAGGAAATGACTGTGATAGAAACGACGCACAGCGCCAGGGCATAGTGCGCAAGGAGGCATGCTGCTGTCTGGGGTTTATTCTGATGATCGGGCGTGACCCACAGGGCAGTACGAAGGATGCCCGACAGTAGGGCTGGCTTACAGCACTGGACCACTTGAAAGAGACTCCCGAATGCAATTGAAAATCAGCACTAGTCTGTCACAGCCCTCCCCAGGCTGGACGGGACAGGAATGAGCGTTGTGCATTTCCTTATACTTGCTTATTCGTGATGTAGTTTGACTGACATCCATATCTGGATGTCGTACTGTGATGAAACGCGACCGACCTGTGTCGCGGTGGCCCCCCATGTGCACGAAATAATACTACCAAGGGTACTGAGACAGCCCTGTAGGTTGCCCAGTGCAACTGGGCCTTTCTTGATGTGTCACGTGCGCTAACATCCGAGTCAGCCGTACAGAGCCGCGGGAACCGGGCCCTGCGCCCAAGAAGCCTCCGCTTGAGACCCCCACGGCCTAGGAGGCTTGAGCACGGCGCGCAAGGAAAATTCGAACCCTGCAGATGGTGCACACTCGTTCGAGGATCCATGGCGAACGTGTTGAACGACGCGGCTCCCCTCGAGCCGGACGGGACGCTCGGAGGTGCTGGAGAGAGGGGTCCAGTTTGGATCCTGCGAGCCAACGGCCTCTCCACCGACCGCCAAAGAGAGTTTTCGAGCTGCTGTGGAGGGTCGGTCGACGGCAGAAACGGGGGCGGCGTTGGTGACGACAGGCCAGCCCCTGACACGGAAGGCACGGACGGTGCGGGCGTCGGAGGGCCAGCCTCCGACGCCGAAAGTGGGGCGGATGCAAACCGCGCGAGTGGGGGCACTGCAAACACGGACGCGGAGCGCGTTGACCGGGCGTGGGACGACGAGATGACGGACGCGGAAGCGCCTTACGCGGGTGACGACACAGGCTACCTAAGCATGGGCTGGGGAAGCAGCGCGGCATGCGCAAAAAGCATGGATGCGGAGTGGACATTCGTACGGAGGCCATGAGGGTCCGGAAACCGAAGGGAAGCAGCAGGGGCTTCTTGTAGCGAGGTGACAGTCGAAAAGGTTGGCTGGAAACGTTAGTAATCTGCGCTCGTTAATTAGTAAAAAGTGCCATGAAAAATGCATGAGCAAATAGAGCTGTTTGAAGAATGGTTGGCTCAACGGGATGATAATAGTGAGCCAGATCACGAAGTGTGAACACAATAGTACTTTACTTGTGTATCAATGGGATCTGAAGGGAATATTCGAACGGCTGGTAGAATCTAGGCAGCTAGGGTGCAGCTGCGCTCAATTGGTGAGCCAATAGACCCTAGATTGCTAAGTAAAGTGGTTTCATGTGAGTATGTTGATCTGAACGGCGGGGAAGGATAGAGTCTATTGATTTGTGTGATATTTTGTGATCCGTTTGAGGGACAGAATATTCCAAGGAATCTTCCTGGAATATTCCTTGACGAGGTACAGCCCCTTGGGCTATAAAAAGGGGAGCGGCGCCCCTATTGTCGCCAGCCGAACTGACCAGTTGGTGGTCCCAAGGGACCAACCGGAACATTCATTGTAATAATCGGTTAATTGGTCAAAGATTGAGCACAGGACACAACCCTTGGAGGGTTGTTTGGGGTGTGTGTGTGTGTGTGTGTGTGTTGAGTGTGTGTAAGCGAATTGTGAGTAACGAAAAGCTCCATTACGTGAGTGCTCTACTGCACTTGTGACGTGTCCTGTTGGGAACGCCTGCGGGGCCCCAAGCGCGTCTAGAGTGTTGCTATTTTTAGTGTGTCCTATTGGGAACGCCTGCGGGGCCCCAAGCGCACTTTAATAGTAATTGCACATAACGTAATAGACTGGGAAGCCTACGGGGCCCCAGAAAAACACCCTCAGAGAAATCTGGGGTGCTGAGCTATAGTTATCTTACAGTACAAATCACGCATTACTAAAGTATACAATACGGCTGAGCGTTTACAGCCTAGAGCTGTGCTCCCAAGGCAGCTGCTGCATTTTGGTGGTGACTAAAGGTGATCAGGAGTGAAAGTTTGTTGAGCTACAAACTAATCTACATTCGACCGAACCGAAAGGGGCTGGAAGTGGAAAGGCAGGAAGGTAAGTAGTTAAGGAAAGGGAAAGTTGAATAGATTCCGCGCGTAATCAAGGCCAGTTCGCAACTGACAAAGTACTGCCTCAGTGAGGTCCAGTACTGAAAGGAGGCAAAGGCTGGTGAAAACGTGAGTTCATTACAGAATTGAAGAACATACAAATGCCCCACTCATTGTCACTTGGATCCTGACCAATGAAAGACAAAGAGGCATGAGTCGGGTTGAAAAGGACGCTGTCGAATCCAGCAGTACTTCCCTTGTACTGACGCCTGCCCCTAAGCACAGTGTCATAGTGTGTCCTCCTGCTCCTGTGAAGATTGACCTGCACAGCGACACTCAGGAGGCTCAGAGGCAATCCTTGACAAAAGGCCAAGCTCGTCAGCTGCGAAAAAGCTGGAACGAGCTGTCAGGAAAAGTGTTTGAAAACTAACGCACAGGCTGCCATAAGACTTTTTCACTAGACCAAAGAAAAACTGGACGTAAAGGTGTATACTGATGATGTACTATTGTCTTTAGACAGTGTACATAGTCCAGGCATCAACCCAAAAGATTGGCTGGGCATATTCAGTAACGCCAACCAGTTGTTGAAATTCTGGAAGGCTGCAGGTGGTCTGTTCCTGACGCTGCTCAGTGTAAACCTATTCGTTTGCAGTCACATCCTCACCGCACGTCTTGTTAGATCACTTCTGAAGGTGTGCAATCAGTGTTGGTGTGATCTGCTGTCGTTTATGCGGGGTGAAGGGTTGCAGCTGGCTGGCATAGCCAGGGAGATTGCCCGCATTAAGGGACAACTCAGTTTTCTGTGGAATTCTGAGCGCATACGGCGTAGCCAGGTCAGGCAGGAAAGGAACACCGTACCCGTCACGTCACAGCCTGTGACGGGTGTAATTGCTGGTCCAATTACCAGCCCAATCCATTTTCAGCTGGCTTGTGCATTTGCAGCTGGAATTGTAACAGGTTGTTGTGTGTCTTTAGGATCCCTTTGTTTGGGGATCTGGATTGGACACATTCTCTAGAGTGTATACACGTGGCCGTGACTCATCGGCCTTAACAGGCAGTCACACGTAATGGCCATTCAACAACTGTTCATTTCTGATGTTCATTCCTTTGTGAGGGTGAGGTGGGCACATGGGAGATGGTTGGGTGGTTGTGTGCTGTGTTGCGGGGCAAGACGAGCTGAGTCGCATTGATGTGATATGATTTCTTGATGTTGCAACTCGCCCTCTATGGCTTGTGGTTCGATGCCATCCATACCCTTGGGGAGGCGCCTTTTGGCTTGGCCATCGAGAAGGAGCGTCCCTAATGGAATCAGCGACCCGGATTTGCCTCCAAAGGGATGAGTTCCATATTGTGGGGTACTAGCCAGCACATAGAACTCGTGTACTACATTCTGTGTATTACTCAAAAGGGGTTTCCACGTTCTGATGCCATTCCCTTCCATCACATCACATCACATCACACCAACACACGTTGTACACCTAAAACATTTGCACACAAAAGTTTTTGCATGTTTTGCAAAACAAATGGTCAAACAGAAAATTTCTTGCACACAGCGTTGTGGCAAAATTTCCTACATGAATATTTTCATTCTGCATCTTTTTTTGACCAATCAAAGGTCTATCCTGCAAATCCATTTGTCCATCTCTCCAAAATTGGTGTTATGTGATTGGGTCTTTTGGGCCATTTCTATAGCGGAGCGAGGTGCGATGCCAAGGCGTGCAGACAATTGCGCATAATATCGACCAATACCACGGTGCAACGTCAAAAGACCTTCCAGAAAGGCAAACAACCAGCGTTGCAGCCAATGTACAGGGTGCAAACAGGAATGCTGGAGGCGATGGCAGTTGATGGGGACAACACGAGGCCATCCATCTATATATTTGGGGGGTCTCGTTGCACATTGAACGCTGATAGAGGTTTCAAACAAGTCATGTCTTGTTTGCTGCTGGTAGGCTGCGATTGGCACTCGCCACTGGTGTCGGTCGTGTCAATTGCGGAAACACTTAACATCGCGGGTTCCAAACCCCTTTATTTGGCGCCAATATCACGCCGTGCATGCCAACATCGGCATAGCGGGTTCCTGGTGTGAGATCAGTGAAGAGTGTTGGCCGCAAATTTAAAGGCGTGGGTGTTGTGACAGCACCGCCACGCGCTCTCTTGTGTACACAAGGTGTTACACAAATCGTATATAATGATGTGTTGCCATTGTGCTGTTCGCCACCAAGAGACAGCTGACATGCGGAGAGAGAAATTTTAGTTGTTGGCAGTTCTACCAATGGCATATTTGGTCAACACAAAACAATATGCCATCGCTATGTTCATTCCCACTCCTCAATCCGACCAGCCCTCAACACTACGGCTCATTGGACGCTGAAATCCGCTACTCCGTACTTCCCTGCGCACTGCGACTGACCAAATCCAACAGAATGGGCAATGGGCTAGCACGGTTCGCATACTGAAGGTAGTTCTGCAGACGAAACGTCAAACATTCATATCACCTGGACCGAAAGAGGCGAGCAATGGAGTTGTTAATTTCAAGGGCGTCAACCCGTCAAAATGCCCTGCAGTCAATTCCCCTTCAATCGAACACCGTCTAATTTCGGCATTTCCTCGCGAGCTGCAAAAGAAAACTGCAAAAGTCGTTTCTCACTGGATTTTGAATACGGATTTGAGCTTCACAACGAGCCTCCAGTCATCCTTTTCCATTTCGTCTTTGAAGAATTGCTTCAGAGCATCGATGGACTCCCTCGAAATGCGGCTGTAGAGGTCGTCGTTGTGGTCAAAATGGCGGCCGTACAGTTTGGCCGACTCCTCAGAGTTTGTTGCCCTAATCTTCACAGCGAAAGAATCTCCAGCCTTGGCCTCTTCGACCATCTTGTGGTTCACCTCCATCGAATCAATGCGACCAAGGCTGATTTCGGCTCTGCCTGAAGAGGCAGGGATGCACAGGGGTGTGCCGACCCTTGCCTGCCCCTCAACCACCTCCACGCCCAGGACAATGGGGTCCTTCTGGTTGAAAATGCAGGTTGGTATGATCTTCAGAATGCAGGGGAACACAGCATCATCCCTGGCCATGAAATAGCATTCAAAGCTTAGCAACATCGGCATATCTTCGCGATCTTGGTTGCAGCTACTGGCCTCGTCGGGGAGCACGATTCAAGGCTGAGAGTATGTCTGGAGATGTATTAGCACAGGTCAGATATGCGACACTTGCTGGTGTTCATAATACACATAATACGGACAACAAAACAGTAGCACCCAGATCATAAATAAGGACGCCCTTTGCTTGCTTGTCGTTCCTCGATTGGGGACAATGCACCGCCAGTGCACGTATTCAGGCAACACCAAAATAGGTTTTCGTTGACAAAGAAAACTTTCTGATAGCCAGGCAGCCAACTCAGACCAAGGGGAAGCATTTGGCATAGGTTCTTAAGTTGAGGTGTAGCATGAGCAACAGGCGGCTTTGGCAACTCTGCAAGTCCACCCACGCAGACTACAGATTAGCAGCTACAACTGGCAGCGTCTGTCTCGTTCAAATAATCCCAAGAAAAGCCTTCCAACAAACGTCACAATGCAGAAGCTGTGCAAACGAGGTAATAGTGCAACAATACCACATGCGCCGACAATGAGCACACCCACCAAACATGAAGCCAGGTAAACGAGCGACCAACTAGCGCACCTTGCAGCCATCTTTTCTGCTTTCTTCACCTCCTCCATGTAAGCTTTGAATTGGTCGAACAGGTGATAAATGATGTCAGCAGTAAAAATCCTGACCCCAAGTTCTTGTGCAACGTCGCGAGCTTCACGGTTGACAGGAACATCGAATGCCAATATGACACCATACTTCTGCAGTCCCTTTTCGTTCATCACATTCGCTCGAATAACGTCCTTCTTGTGCACTGGCCCAATTGCGATTGCCGACACTGGTATGCTGACCTGCAGGGCAGGAAACGCAGTGAATAGGCAGCCAGCACTAGCAGAGACCACAGCCATTTTGTGGTCCAAAACTGCTCAGGTCAATTCCATCCTGTCTGTTCCTCCTGTCTGTGTTTCAACTGGCTCAAAACAATTGAATTGTGCACCAGAAATCTACAAAGCGTTCCAAAACGGGACCAGATGGTGCTATCGCAACTTCGTAGCTGGCCATTTTGTGTCAGTGCTATGCGCACAACAAAGTCCGACAGCATGTGCTGGAGTCCCATTCTAACCTAACATAAAAGAGAGTCATGGGATATGTAAGCTGCAGGAGAAAGACAACTCTCTGCTGTTCATGTGACATTTACTACCAAATCGAACAGTGAGCTTCACCTGCCACCAGTCTTGCCCTCAAAGTACACAATAGAAAAATTACTCGTGAGGTGAGCACTGTGCACTGTATTGCCAGGAATCTGCGGTTGCCTCGGAAGGTGCAAGGTACAGCCACATGCCATGGTTTGGCAAATGCATCAGAAGGAGTGGTTCACTGTTTGCAAAGAAAGAATCAGCCCCAGTCACAGAATATGTGGTGTGAGGAAACGCTTGCACCAGCACCCAAACGTCCACAGCATTGACACATTTAGAAGGTGAATTCACCTCTGGGGACTTCAGAAAGTCAAGGAGGGCTTCCAGAGATCCAAGGGTGGATGCCTGCACAGAAACCCCTTCACCACTCTTATCAATTCGTCCCAGGACATCTTCCATCTCCTCCTGTGCCAAAGCCTTAGCCTCTTCCTCATCGTCATCTGGTCCCACACCATACAAGGCAGTACCTGCAGTCCAAACAGCAGGCGTGCAGTGCATCTCAGCACCTGGCCCTTTATTTGCTTTTCACACAAGCATTGTTTGAGAAGCCAAGCACTCTTCAAAATTGGCCAAATTGGGCATGTTCCTGCAAAAGACATGAATGTATTGAAAAAACTGATTTTTAGCAGCAGCATCGCCACAAGTTGGGGCTTCTCAAATGGACAGCCTGGCGAATCAAACTCGTTGCATTCGGATTCTTTCACATCCTCCATGGACTAAGGCTGGCGCTGACACTCACAGACTCTGCCAGTTGAAGTCATTGTTGCCGATATACACCGCGGGGACAGTGCAACAGGAAGCGCACTGAGAAACGGCAGTGGACTAGGTGGGTCCTTTCACAAAGGAGCTGCATGCACGTGAATGCAAGATGTGGGTGTGCAGAGCAGCAACCTTACCATGCAGAAACCGTCATAGAAGAAGCCCATACCTGCAACTGCACGCTCCAAGCCCTGTGCGCAGATCTTGATTCCTTGTGCAGCCCGAATCTGCTTGTGGTGCAGGTATGAACCTTTCACTCGCAATTCCTTCAGTGGATGCGGTGTCAACAATGATCGGATTGTGGTGGTGATGGGCCCAGCCATTCCACATACAACAATCTTGTCACCTGCAGTGGAGGGCACCAAATGCGCCCTAAAGGAGTGATGATGTTCTTCCGGTACCTACTCTGTGTCTTCCTCTTATCTTGATATATGCCACACTAACTTTCTTGTACTCCACCCAGTTGAGAAGAAAAACACATAATAAAACAAATACCCCGTCCATCGTCAATGCAGGGATAGCATGTCCACAGTTCACATGATTCAGGACAGCATCGCTACATGGGTAGTACACAAAACCCCAAACCCCAGGTGAACAAGTCCACACTGTTGCCATCAACGTTTCTGAAACAGCATATTGAATGTGAGTTCATGGAATTGCCATAGGCTGACAAATAAAATCAAAACTACACAACTAAGACACGTTTTGAAAGAGACCAAGGATGAAAGGGATCATGTTTGGCTCCAACTGTAGGTATAACAAAACGTTTGATTGTCGGCATCTGGTGATGATCACCAGGGCGTTCCTACACACTTCCACCAGGCCCTTCAATACAAATAGTCTTCATCGCAATCTGACAGATGTGCAGGATTCTGTGATTGTGCAGAAGCATTTCGTCTGGAGTGCTGTCTGTCATCGTCTTGGAAGATGCAATGCAGTGACCACAAAAAGAAGATTGACTTGACAGTCTCTTGGGACCCTATGGAATTTGCTGTCTCAAGTCAGGCACCTCATCAGCCATCTACTGAATGCAGCAACATCAGCTGTTGGGAAGGCACCTGCCCACCTAATGAGCACAAACAGGCAGGAACAAATGTGGCCTTACACACCTTCTTTCAGCATGCCATTTACCAGCACCACATCGACTGTGGTCCCCAGCCCTTCAATGGCCTTGACCTCCAGCACTGTGCACTGTAGCTCTGCCAGAAACATCAGACGTTCAGCCATCAGCGATGTCGTCAGCTTGACCAACAGCTGCAGCAGGTCAGGGATGCCCTCCCCAGTGATGGCTGAGGTCGGCACCATGCTGACATACTTCCTGGGATCCTTGTTCTTCCAATACAGTGCCACATTAAGTCCTTGTTCCATGAGCTGCGTGGTACAAAACTTCAGCCTGTCCTCAAAATCGGTTGTTGTGTGCTTCTTCTGTCGGTTCAGTGAGTCCCGAATTGGGGCATCATTGGTGATCTTCCAGTCGATAAGCCGGTCGACTTTGTTGAGGGCTACAATGAACGGGGTCTTGCGCTGACGTAAGAGGCCAATAGACTCCATGGTCTGGGGCTCCAGGCCGTGCATAAGGTCCACAACAAGGATGGCAATGTCGCACAGGCTTGATCCACGTGAACGGAGGTTGGTGAAGGACTCATGACCAGGTGTGTCGATGACCAGTAGCCCGGGAACCTGTTGGTAGGAACAAAAGCAAAGTCCAACAACTCAATGGCGAACAAATGTCAGTGCAAACACTCAAGAGCACAGTGCACAAACCAATCGCAAGAAGACAGTTCGCACAAGATGCACTGATGGTGGCAACAGCAATTACACCCCAGGAGCAACACACGACCCTCAATGACAGCATGTAATGCCAGCACAGCAACATTTTGCCTAATGTTGTGCCATTGTGATTCTCTCACACAGAAAGGTGAGCTGCAAACAGTTCACATCCAGTATCTTCTCACCTTCATGTCATATTCTCTTCCTTTTCTCAGGTCTGCTGTCCTAGTGAGGAGGGCATCACTGGGAATATAGGTCGCCCCGATCTGCTGTGTGATTCCTCCAGCCTCTCCATCCTGCACATTGGTCCTTCGGACATTGTCCAAAATCTTTGTCTTCCCAGTGTCTACATGCCCCAAGATACAGCAAATGGGCGACCTCAAATCGTCTGCGCTAGCTTGTGCCTTGGCCTCTTCAACCCTTGCAGCCCTCTTCTGCTTGGCTTCTGCGATCATTCTCTCCTTCGCCTCCTCACTGTCTGTCTCATATGAAGTGGACTCCTCTTCACTGGAACTCTCCTCCTCAGATTCTGATTCAGAGCCTTCAGCTGAGGAAGAGGAAGCATCGTTGTCCGGAGTATTGCCTGCAGTCTGCATTTCCCCTTGACCACCAGTAGGGGCATCCTGACAGCAAACCACACCCTGGTTATTATCCTGACACCACTCCTTCAGACTATTGTTTAGGAAAGAGCAAACCTGTCATGGCATCCATGCCCTTGTTCCAAATAACAAACTGTGAGGGCCACATCCATGCTGCAAATACGATGTACAGAGATTGCATGTGTCTCAGTTGTTGCAGGCAACAAAGGACGACAAGAGATACAAGAAAGAACACAACTGACACTCAGTGGGGTCATGGGAATAACAATAGCAATTTTATCAAAGCCATGTAGGCAGTCAACAATTATGTCCACTACGAACACAAACAACTGACACACCTCATCAATGTCCTCCCATGTGTCTGCAGCTTGCTCCCAATCATCTACACCCTCAACTTCTTTAGTCTTCTGTTCAGCTTGCCTTTTTTGTTCTTCCTCCTCCTCTTTACGCTCCTTCTGTGCACAATAAAGCAGCAAGGGCCAAGTGTGAATCTATAGAAATCAACGTCTCAAATGGGGTCCAAATACCAACTGATGTAATTGAAACAAGATCCAGATGATGGAATCCAACATTCAGCTAGGGTACACAAACAGGAACAATGGGGGAGGCCAATTTAGTACCATCAGTATGGTTGCCAGAAAATGACGTAGAGATGTATCAATGATAGCTATGATAGAACTGGCAGAATTAACTCACAAATGCAAGCCAACGAACCAGTCGTGTGCCAAAGAACGGGTTTGCTTCTGGTTCAAGCATATGATACTCATCCCCACGCCAAGACTCCCTACACATGGCTACAACGCAGAATAGGGGGTTAATATACAGGCTGCTTCCATGTCTGGAGCATTGTTCACATCTTGTCATCCAAATTGTTGTAATCAGGAAGTGTGCACATTCAATGTGATAAGCAGATGCACAAGCTGCTGGACATAAACTGCCAGCATGGGTCCTATTTATCCTGCACTCTTTGACCTTTGCCACATCATCAGTTTGATCTGTTGCAAGAACAGGAGAGTATTGGAGGGCACTTGGTGCCCCAGCTGCAGCGAGCAACGCAATATTCAGCACCTCCTTTCGTTTCCGTTCCTCCTCCAGGGCAAGCAGTCGAGCTTCATCTTCTGCCTTCTTGCGTGCCTCCAATTCCAGTGCTCGTTGTCTCTTTTTCTCAGCATAGCTGAGCTTGTCACGTGCTCTTGCCTCATCAGCATCTGCACACCGACACTAGGTTCCCTTGGTTCCTTCACATTAGGGAATGCAGATTACTTCCAACTATTGTGAAAATACCATGCATACTGTTTCCGATAACTGCGTGGCCTTGCAGCCTATCTTGCCGCCATTGTGATGTTGGTTAACCTAAATACCTGTATTTGAGATCTGGGGCACTGCAAACCAGGTCGGCAAAACAGCTGCCTTCATGTCAAGCAGGCATTGCCGTGCTGCCAAAAGAAATGTTGAAGATGAGCAACATGTTGACCGCTACACTGAATGGCTCACTCTGCGAACTACTCTGCTTTCAGCTTCACCAGCAACCACGTTGCACATTGCAGGCATATTCCCACAAGCATAGAAGACTCACACCTAACACGTCAGCCATTGAGCACTGTATCCAATGTTTCATTTGCATGTGACAGACAACTGGCAACTGCAACAGATCGCCCAACCACAAGAATGGCACACTTGCTGCAAGCTCAGCAACACACAGTCGATAGATTCGCTATAGCAAGGCAGACTGGATCAGAATCACTACAGCAAGATAGTTGGATGTATCCTGTTGAGTTTCAGTGATTAAGGGATTCAAGGAAACTGTGCAGCACACCAACTACCTTCTTGACTTTGGTTCGTCTTCACCAGTAATTTAAGTGCTCGAGCCCTTTTCTCCTCTTCTGCTCTCTGCTTTGCCAAGATTTTCATCTGCTTTTGCTTCTCTGCCTTTTCCTTCTTTTTCCGTTCAGCCTCCTCTTTCCGCAGCATCTCTGCCTCCTCCTCCCGTTTCCTGCACAGACATGTTTGACACTACTGACAGACTTTAAATGTGGAGCACACATTTCCGATGCCCTTTCCACAAATATTGCACCACATTGTGTCCTAAGGTGATCTTGAAGGTGAACTGAGGAACATCGCTTGTTTTGCAACTGATGGAGTTTATCTGCCACAGAAGTTGGAGTCATGCATTCTGAACTGAACTGTATGTAATCAATATGGACATCAGCTGCTGCACAATTAAAAAAAAAGGCCTTACCTTTCCTCCTCCTCTCTCCTTGCCCTCTCTTCTTCCTCCTTTTTCAATTGCTCTTCTGCCAATCTGCGACGCTCCATTTCCTCCTGGAGACGTCGCACGTGAAGTGGCACCTTACCATCCTTACCTTTCGGCTTTGTTGCCACTGACTCCTCGTCCACAGCTGTTGAAGATGACTTGGCAAGCTTCTTCTCTTTTTCCTTTTGTTTCTTCTTTAGCTTCTTCTTTTGAGCTGCAGACAGCTCCTATTTTTTTCACAGCAGAAAAACTTTTCAGGAGAATCATTACTATTTACCAAAGGTGCAAAGTTGGCTATGGCAACCTTGAAGGCTGCCTCTGTTCTTCGGCCAGTCACAAGGTAAGTAAACAATTTTGCAGGGACAAAGAGCGACAGAACAGGCAATGCACATAGCCTACACACACCTTGGTGCCTTCCTGTGCGTCTCCCTGAACTTCCTCACCAAGCGCTTGGCTTTCATCAGTTGAAGCAGGAGCTAGTGTTTCTGGTACCTCTATGGTACTCGTTTCTGTTACCTCCTTGACGTGTTCTGTCCCAGCAATGGGACCATCAATTTCAGCAAGAATGGCGTCGATGTCCTCAACATCCTTCTTGTTACCCTTTCCTTTCTTCTTCTTTTTCTTGCTGGTGGACGGTCCCTGCTCATCAGGTATCGGTTGGATCACATTGGATTCTGCAGTGCTGTTGTCACGTTCAAGAGTAGAGGCGGCATCTGGACCTCTTCCTGCTTTTGTTTCCTCTGGCAAACCTGCTTTGCCATCAAGTTCAGCAACGAGAGCATCAATGTCTTCTTCCCCCTTTGTCTTTCTTCCTGTCGACTTCTTCTTTCCCTGATTGTTCAAACAATACTCGAACTTCACCAAGAAATCCCAGTGAGAACACATGCTCCTGCTTTTCGCTGGTAATGTTTTGGCAGATGGCACACCACAGATCTTTGGAGCATATCTCCCAAAAACAGTCAGACACTTTGCAAAGCAATTTCCCTGAGAACATCGATAAATGCTGATAGCTGAATGCACACAAGCACAGCTGCTAAGCCTTACAACAAGCTGGAACGACCCAGGAAGCAGGTGTGCGGGTGATTTCCATGCAGTGTTTACATCGACTTTGTGGTAAAGGTGCGCACTTGAGGCGCTTCACCAGGCTCAGCCGAAATGTCTGCAGTGCTGCCTGCAGCCTTGTCTTCCTCGTCAAGTGCAGCAAACACATCATCAATGTCTCCCTTCCCTCCTTTGGCCTTCTTCTTTTTCTTTTTGTCCTTGGGTCTGATTGCAGCACCACCAGAAGCTGCTGCATCCTCCTCACTGTGAGGTGCACTAGCCTGTCCTTGCAAATCATCAGCCAACCCACTATTATTAGATGTCTTGGTCTTGGACCCTTTCACTGGGGGGGGTGAAACCTTTGGAGTCTCTTGCTCCTCTTTGTCTTCATCATCCATGCTGAGAGCAGAAAAGGCAGAGCTTGGAGTTCTGCTGTGGTGGTGCTTGAGAGACTTGTTCTCTTCTTCAGACACACTAGGTCCATCGCTTTCTGCTTGTTCGTCGTTATCGAGCATCAGTGCAGCAAATGCCAACTCTGCCTTGCCACCCTTCTGTTTCTGCACCCTTCCATCTGACCTGTCAGTGTCATCGGACTGTGGCGATGTTATGCCTTCTTCCAGGCCTCCCTCCATGAACTTCAGACCTCTGTTCTTTTTCCCCTTCTTTTGCTTCTTCTCCTTTGGCAAGATCTTTGTGGCAGGCTCATCTGGTTCCTCCACAGTTGGCTGCGGATCATCCTGGGCTTCTCCATCACTGTCAGCATCCAGGAGGGCAAATGCATTGTCCACGTTCTTCTTCTTCTTCTTCTTTTTCTTGCCTTTGGGGGTTGGGGCAGCTGATACTGCTGGATTCCCATTATCGGAACCATCATCACCAGTGCCATTTTCTGCATCGTCTACATCCAAGCCTGCAAATGCATTGTGAGCGCCTTTCGACAATCCAGAAGTCATGTTGGAGTCATCTTCGTCACCGATCGTCGCCTCTGGAGCTTCATCGACGCTGATGTCAGCCTTTTTCCCCTTCTTTGGTTTCTTTTTCCCCATAGGCGACAACTCCTCTGCTTCTTCAGTGGATGCCACAAACGCAGGGCCTTCGCTTTCAAGTTCTTCGAACAAACTGTCCTGGTTCCTTCCCTTACTCTTCTGTGGCACACGCATAAAACATGGGCATCACAATTCCAAAGATCGCCAACCTCCACATGGGCCCCGAAGAAGGGTGCGCTCCCTTCTGGGCCAGATGAGACCACATTTCACCAGCAGCAATCGCCAGTAGACTGGACAATAGCCGTGATTTGTATGTTGTGCCCACCTTCTTGGGCATGATGCCTGCACCTCTGTAACAAAGTCCTCTGCGCTGCCTGCACGGCAACCCAAAACCCCCACCAGGTAAACACAAACACTAATAAGCACAAGCGTTCATCCTCGCCGACACGTTCACATGCCCGCACACCCGGAAAATACAATGCATGGCGGCCATCCAGCGTCAAATCCAGAGGGCGGCTCGATGCGCGTACTCTGGATCCCAACCCGAAATTTGCGCTGCAAAGCGCCGGGGCTCCACGCACAGAACGCACCTGTCTGCGTTTTCAGTTGGCCCACAAAGGCTTACGTTGAGGCAGAGGTCGCACGCGAAAGCTGAGCGCCGCGTCAGGAGGCCGTGAGGAGGCGGTCAGCGTTTTGCCGTCTCGTCGCTCAGCTTCCCGCTGCGTTCCCACCACCTTGATGGAGCACATTTTTGGTCCAACTGGTCCAAGTTTCCTGCATAATGGCCGCTTCGATGGCTGCTGTGATGTCTCCCTTGCGGCTGCTCCGCTCATGCCATTTTGTTATCTACGTGAAAATTCGCAGGGATGACTCGCGTACAGCGCAATGGCAGCCGTACAAAGGGAAATGCCAATGTGTCACGAGAATGGCACATATGTACATAATGGCACATACATAGAATTGTGGTGTGCAACATGGGAACATTTCAGATGTCCTCTGAACAACTGAACCGATCGCCCAAGAAATGGGGAACAGAAAGTGCACCAACGAAGAACAAATAAAGGGGGGATACCGGCGAATTTGTGCGATTGTGAGGCGTTTGAGCATAATAGGATGACAGTTGACCTGAGTCGAGGGTCGTTATCGTCGCAGTCACATTGCATTAGCAAGAGAGATTGTAACAATTGTACTGTTGGATCCCGGCTGAAGTCGTCTTGGCTAAGAATTGGACACAGCATGCTGTTTAAAATCATCGCGACCATGCTTTACAGGAAATTCCCGCACAAAAAAAAACACGGCCCAAAGGCACAAAGGGCCCTACAAAAACCCGCAAGGCCGTGTGTGGCGCTAACGAGAGCAAGAGAGCATCAGGCACATTTGCTCTGCTTGCCTCTGTAGGAAAGGCAGCAGATTCTGCTTCTTATCAAAAACACAACACCCCGTGCATTTGTCGGCCCAAAAAGCCTCAAACATCAGAGGCAGGGCACTCGTTGCTCAGAACCTCGTGTTGCCCGAAACAAGAAGACTGTGGCAACACAGGCAGCGGCACCCCCGCTCATCGCCTGCGTGCCCGAGCTTGCGAGCACTGTTGCCATTGGTCTCCGCCGCCCAAGTCGCTATGATCCGGTTCGTCCTGCTGCAGAACCGAGCGGGCAAGACGCGCCTCGCCAAGTACTACATCCCTCTCGAGGACGATGAGAAGCACAAGCTGGAGTATGAGGTGCACCGGCTTGTGGTGGGCCGAAATCCCACGCAGTCCACAAACTTCGCAGAATTTCGAACGCACAAGGTGAGGAATCGACGTGCTGAAGCCGCTGAGCGACCTGCCTGAGAGCCTGCGCTTGTTTCCTCTCATCATTCTTGGCCTGTGATCGCCTGTTTTGGTCAGTGTCCTTGCGCTCTGGGCCCTTTGCTGAGGCCGCATGTGCGCTGAACAGAGCCTGTGCAGCTTTTTACCTGAATTCCGCGGTCCCAGAGCGAATGAAGCCAGTGGAGGGACCAGGATGTCTCAGCTTACCTTGGTCGGGGAGGGAGAGGCAACGCATTTTTATGCCACTACAGGTGATTTATCGGAAATACGCTGGACTCTTCTTCTCGATGTGCTGCGACGTGACGGACAACGAGTTCGCCCTCTTGGAAGCAATCCACCTGTTCGTGGAAGTGCTCGATCACTACTTCCAAAGCGTCTGCGAGCTGGATCTCGTCTTCAATTTCCACAAGGTGAGATAGCCGATGCATTGCATTGTGGCGACAGCTCTCCTTGCAGGAGTAGGAGCTCCACAGAAGTGCTGGACAGCATTCCTGTGCCACAGTGCGGTGGTTTGGTCGTTGCAGCCAGTGTACTCTAGACAAAGTTGGATACAGCTGGCTGATTCCATCTGCGAAGGAAAGAATGGTTGCACAGCAAAACTTGATTTGAGTAGAGTATTCTTGCAGAGATTGGGACCAGGAGGCTCATGAGGCAGATGCGTTGGATAGTGTCCCCAATGGATGCCGCCCATGAATACACTGCTCAGCTCCTCTCCGTGGTGTGCTGTCCTCGAACATGGGCATGCCAGCGACCAGGCACCCTCGTTTTGTAGCGGTTTGTGTCTGACACTCTCGTTTTCGTTGCTTGCAAGGTGTACCTCATTCTTGATGAGTTCGTGCTGGCTGGTGAGCTGCAGGAAACCAGCAAGAAAGTGATCCTGGAAAGGTTACGAGAACTGGACAGAATAGAGACTTGAGAATGGGTCAGGCGCCGGGAGCGTGGATAGTGGGCTTCCCAGGAATGTTGTTTTGATGGCGTACACAAGGTCATCTGGGAGATGATACTGGCAGGGGAGGCAGTGCTGCAGCTACCCATGATATGCAGGGTGGAATCAAGTCGATCCCTGCAGTGCACTTGTGACTGTGCTTGGGTTCTTGCAGCCTATGTCCTCTGCTGTGCTTTACGCATTGGTGTATCTCCACACTCACAGCTTGTGAGACTGTGAACGGTGGCATGCTGCGATCAGCAAGTTGAGTCACAAGTATATTGTGGGTTGTAGATCCTACCAGACGGGTGTGTTTTATGGTGCCTTCAATGCTGCCATGACTCTGCCACTGCCTGCTACACAAGCATAGGCACTGGGCTAACAGTTGGAAGACTGATGCGCAAGACACAGCACGTCTGTGGTCATGGAATTCTGCTGTGGCTATGGTTGTCAACTTTGGCGACATGCCTACATAGATATCGTATGCAATATTGCCACTGCGTTTTCTTAACATGCCCATGTAGGCCTCACAAAGGCTTTTCCCATGAGCAGCAAAACAGCACTGACGACATAGATTGAGCCCATGGTCTGAAATTCATGTGGCCTTTGAAACAACATCAGATTGACTTGAGTGCCAATTGGCATGTCGACCTTGTTTTCAATGAACGACTCCCTTGGGGAGCAGTTATTATTGTGCCTTCGCCACAAGGCAACCACATGCTACTACGTTGCGTCGCTCTTCAGCTTTTCAATGTGTGGTCTGTGAAGCGACTCTGGGAGAGAGGATGTTGTGGATCAGGAATTCTATCGGCACCTGATTGCCCAGGGTGACCATGATGACAAAGCGACGAAAAGAGAAGAAGGTCCATTGGCATGTGGCTTAGCACAGCACAGAAACAGGAATGTGCACGCACAATTTCCTGGGTGTTCTTTCAGCGAACACTGCTGTGATTGTGCAGTGCCGATTCAGACAATCTACTGGTTCTTTGCACTGCTTTTGGTAATGCAATGCTTGACCATCAGGCCTGTCAGGCCCTCCAACTTGTCGCAGAGCAGAGCTGGCCAACCTCCACCATCTCACAATGGCACAACAAGGACATTATGTACTGCGCCAACCGCAAATGTCTGCCATGTTTGCACACACCCCATCCATATTCACAAGTTTGGTGATAGTATGTCAACATCCCGTGCCTTGCACAACAAGACGCTCACTCATATGCTCCTTTCAGCACACTTTCCCTGTCAGTGAACGCATCAATCAGACACTAGTCTTCTTCTTCCTCAGTGTCAGAGTCATCAACAAAGGGAAGGACTACCTCGTCCAGTGACCTACCCTCCAGTCCCCTAATCTTAGGTTTGGGTTTCTCGATCTTTGGCAAAGGGGGTGGCGGGCCTGTCGGGTACTCTGCATACATCTGCAACACCTTGGGTGTGGGTGGCGAAGCAGGTGTTGTTCCGACCTCAAATATCCATGGACTCTTGAGCTCAAACACCTTCAGAATGTCTGGTGTGTGGCGATGGATGACCGCCTGGCCAAAACAAGTTGGGCATGGAACAGTCCCTGAATCATGCGGCACACAAGGCACACCTTGCGCCATCAACTTGTGCACTTGCAACCCAAGATATTCACATCGAGACAGCACTGAACAGAGGACAGCGGAATGATTGAACCTGGAAGGACGTGTCCTGATGAGGGTCTGAGATTCCCTCCCGCACTGCAAAAGACAATGTAGACATGCCCAAAGGCATACGAGCAAGCATGCAGTGACAACAAAGCCTTGGCAGGAAATAACTGTTCAGATGACCAGCACAGTGGTGTTGTTGCAAAACAGAAGCAAAGATCAAGGCCATCGACACCTGTGGAAGGAATTTGGCAAATCCGAATCAGGACAGGTGGTGAGGTCAGCTACCTGCAGCGTGCCTATGGGGATGTGGCCTTCTTTTGTTGGCCATTGCGGCTTTGAGATTGGCCATGATGTTGAGAGTCTCAACATCATCAGGCACATTCTCGTACTTGAAATCATTTGGGGCATATGCCCCACAGTATTGGCAGTCGTGCTGGTAGTCTGGATGGTCATTATCTTTGTTCCTGTACACAATTGTTGAACACACTGTCATTACAAAGGTATATGCATGGGTTGATGCATGAACAGCATAGAACACCAACTTGAAACAAATTTCCACAGTGTGAGCATGTCAGTAGGCTCACTCTTGAAAAACAAACCCCAGTCCACGCCAGCCCAGTGGATTGTACTCTGGGTGTCGCAAGAATGGCACTTGCAGCAGAATAACGTGCAAAATGTGAAATCTGGGTTGACTCTCTGCAATCTCAACATCAAGAGCATCAAAGGCAAGGTACCTGTATCGAATTGGCAACCGCCTCCTTATCTTTGTGCCACGGCAATGCTTGCAGATCACTGTGCCAGCGCCTTTGCAGCTGGGGCAAGGAGAAGCGTACAACTCTACCCACACATTCTTCAACTGGGTGACGACAATGCCAAAAGACGCAATCTGGATTTGCAAAAATTGCAAACAGTCAGAGTCTTGTCATTGGCGTGGTATGTTGCCTCGCATGCATCCTAGGAGTTTTTCTGAACTCAATTCCGCTGGTTTCAGGTCCCAGACACAACCTTGATTATTGATAATAATTGACACACAGCCGCTCTGCATATCCTCCAACATGGCCTCATACTGCTGGAAGCAGAAGGATGCACTGGCAGGTGTTGATGTTTTCACTGGGATTGCCGCCTGTTGCTCATTTTCAGAGCCTCAGCATATGAGACAACTCGCAAGAGATAGGAACAGCAGCCAGGGCTCCACTTCGCCAGCAAAGAGGTTAGCCACCACAAAGTGGTGCAAGCCGCCACGGAACGACCAGCTCTCTCTCGTCCCGGCGGCAGCGCAACACACCATGCGGTAACAGAATCACTTTGAAGACACGCTGGAGTCTCGGTACCTCAAGGCGTAGGCACACCTACTTTCTACTGCCAGTATTTCTTGTTGGAATTATCCGACTGACAACAACGACAGCGACGACAACAACGGCAACGGACGAAGTCGCGGCCCGTTGGCCGCGCATCAACTATGCGAGCATGCGCCTTGGAGACTGACAGCATCGGTTGTACATACTGTGCTCAAGCCTCGCACAATGTCCAAGATAGGCTCCGGACTGAAGTTCATTGGCAACGCTGGTCGCAGGCGCGGCGCCTGCCCCCCACGACTTGGAAGGAATTGGCGGAGCTGCAACAGGCTGTGGCCGCAGATCCATCATCGACATGGTGCCAAAGTACGGGACGAATGTTCCGCAGCTGCCGCCAAGACGGAGGCCACCACTGCAGCAAAAGAACGATGAATGGTTTGAGCACCTCTCACTGGTTGGCATTGAGAAACCCTGGTGGTTTGCATTTCCGGGGGATTCTGTGCACCCAACGTCTCACGAGTAAGCTACAGCATTATTGAACTGATTTACCAGCTTTTGCATGGTTCGGGAAGGGGTTGTCCTAGCATCGAAGGGGGCCGCGCCCTCTTATTTTCTGCTGGGGTTCGCCGCCGAGGCTGTCTGCAAAGCTTGTGAATGGGCCACCATATAATTGGAATTGCATGCAAGGGCCTCAACACAGTCAAAGTCACTGGCGAATTGCTTGCCCATCAAGGTGTGGAGCAACCCTTTCAATTGCCCATATCATATGCCAGCACCGCTGGCTGTCTCCACCTAACGACAACTTGGGTGTAGCTGGGTACCTCAGTGTCCCGTGTGGCGACCATGTCCACAACGCTTTTTGACACGCTGGGCGGATCTACTGGAAAGTGTATGCCATTTTTCGGTGAAAGTGCGAGAATACCTTTCTGTGATCTCTTGCGGGTGCTAGTCAGTTTGCATGTTTTCGAGTATTTGTGTATCCGATGGCTTGTTCCAAAGTGTGTGCCGTGCGTTGGTTCTTGGTCCCATGGCAGAACATTCGGCCATACTCCTCGACTTGATTGCTAGCTTGCTAGTAGGTGGCCAAGAGATCCTGCGCCATGACATCAGTGGCAAGAGGTAAGTGTGTAAGTAGAGGGGCGCAATGCAAACCTTGCAGCGGCGACCAATCATTGCCCACTCCCTCACGCACGCTTGCGCATGCCCACAAAAGCGACCTGTGAGCAGGTCATACGGTTGCTGCATTACGGTACAAGACACGTTAGTATCAAGGGTATGTCAATAGAAAGCAAGGAGATTCGCATTCGAACGGTAGTAAGTGCACCACACACACATCCTCAATACTACATCTCAATCACGAAAGTCCTCAAATTCCGAATCTTAAAGGTAGTGCCATTAACAATCGGAATTCGAGGACTTTCGTGGTTTGATATGCTAGTTGCCTTTGATTATTCCAGCTGTAATCAAGAATTGCTTTACATTATGAAACGCAATCAATTTCTTATTCCTCTGCAGCTGAACAGACTGGCAATTCACTCTTTAGGCAGAATTATCCACTGGAATTGACCTCAAAAACTAATCTGTTTTCCGCAAGTTCTATCGAAGATAGCATTTCATTCAAAAATACAATTCTTGCAGACCCCAATGTTGAGCCCTAGTTGCTTCCCGAAAAAGGGCATGGGGTTCCGCAATGTTAATCTTATTGTCAGAAGTTCCAGTCCACTTCCTATGGAAAAAGCGGCTCATGGAAATATAGGGAACAACCAAACCATGTAAGAGATCCTAAAACGGGCTGCACCTTCACCAGGCTTGGTTTTTACACCGTAAAAACTGATCGTATTTACGTTTTTACGCGTAAAAATAGTTTTTTACGTTTTTCGGGTAAAAATAAGTAAAAATACGTAAATGCAACGTAAAAACTGGCCGGTGTACATAAGGACAGTACATACAGACTTACGGAATCCGGAGAGTGGCAGCCAGACGCCCTGGAAGGGGCAGAAAACGAGCTTTTGTTAAACGCCATTACCGCCCTTGCCAAGGGCGAAGTGGACACTGTGTTGCGGGTGCTGGATATGGCGGAGGACTGATCATTGTACGCAAATTTCATCGTGTAATCTGGGCGTCCCAGAGGGCCGTAAGACCGTTAAAATAGCAGTAAAAATAGGGCCTTTTGCAAATTTACGTTTTTACGCGTAAAAACGTAAAAGTGAAAACGTAAACGTAAACGTAAAAATTAAGCCTGACCTTCACCACCAAAACCAGGATACGCTGGTATGTTGGATAAACTTTGTCCTTCACGTTTGTCTTAGAATTCTGTGAATTTCAATGTGGCTCACAGCTCCAATTTGAAAGGGTGAGCCAGCTCATTACGGACGAAAAGTGGCAGTGCCGTGTACCTTTGCAGCAGATGTGGGAAACTCATGTGCCCAGAACTACCCCAAACGGGATATTCACTGCTAGCCACACACACATCTTAAAAATGAGCGGAAACCTGTGATACCCAAACGAAAGGGCAACACAGACGGGAGAATGCGAGCAAAGTACAAGCAACTATTGATGTGCAATTGGAAGCGTAGGCAAGTGTCTAGGAAGTTTTTCATCAGCTGGCGCCAATGTGGGATGAAAATCTGTGATCACATGAGATGTATACAAGACGATCATCGTTGGAAATGTTATGCATATTGGAAAATGGTGGAATTCCCTATCGACGACCACGATTGCAGTTTCTGAACGAAAAGGATCAATCGAAGCGCCAGTAATTGGTATGTTGAAATTCGATTTGGAAGTTCAACGCATGCAATCGAAACAGCCTTCCAGGGCCTTGGGCGATCACCTGGAATCCAACCATGTGTGCTATGGTTCATTTAGCAGCACAAACAAAGGCACGCTTCATTATTACTTTGTTCAAGTGTCAGCAGCCATGTGGGCATCCACGATCAGGCGAGCCGTGTGCCAAGGCGACCACAAGCGTGGAGACGTTTTTAAGTGTTTCTGTGCCATTGCTGTTGACTAATAACTAAAACTTGGATAATTGCACAGGAGTGGCAGTAAGAAAATCGAACAGCTAGGCATGCCTCAAGGTTTTCCCCGTCCACTGACGGTGCGCATTCAATGATGCATGGTCGTATTTTCATCCATTACGGCGGTTGCGGTCATTCGACCTTATGATTGGGTCGATTTGTTTGCATATCTCCACTGTGGCGGTAGTGCTTTTTCTGGTGTGGGCTCCGTTTGCAACAAGTTTGCAACATAATCTTGCCACTCGATTGGGTGTCTCTACTGGACTCAAATCGTCCGAGAGCGTCAGGTTTCTAGTGGTTCACACGCGGCCTCCCAATGACCCACGCAAATACCGCGCCCCCAGCGTCATCAAAGTATTAATGGAAGAACATAGGCACCCATGTTCATCCAGTGAATGGGTTGCAATGGCACATCTTGCTGCGCAACGTACATACGCCTAAGGTCTAAGTGGAGTGCAACAGATTTCTGCGTTTCTCGGAGCTGATCCTCCAACGTGATAAGAAGTCCGAATTCCACATTGCAAATGCACACCCCACCTGGACAGGTAACTTTGACAAACGCTGATAATTGTGCAAGGTGTTCCAAAAGTGCACGGCTTCAGCCAATAGGCGGATAGTGCCATTGCCTGAGACAACAATGGGTTCTAATGCGACAGCCCCTGCCAGAGTAATTGCAGAGAAGCCATCCTTCACAGAAACCCGTTGCTTACAGCCCGTCCTTGGGAATAGTACAAGCCATGACAGTACCTAACAATGCGATTTTGCCCACAGCTGTAAAGTCAAACAAAACTAGCTTAAGGGGTGCACCCAGGCAGAGGTCGACCGCGCAGTCCCCTGTCTCGATGGCCAGTGATGCGTATTGAATCACAGGCATAGTGCCGCAATCTCCAGTCAGGCGGTGTTCGGCCTTGTATGATATCGAGGTGCGCCCTCACAGCAAATGCTCGCAAATGTCTGTGCTGGTGTGGACCATTAACAACTTACACGACAGCCTAGGCATGCCTAGATGCGCATCTGAAATCGCTGACCCGTCGGACAGGCCTGGCACGTGGCATAAAAACAGTGCCCACATTCCCCACCAGATCTGACACCCGTCCAAAGCATAACGCGCATCTATCCTTCATGTCACATGCAATTCGCGCAAAGCCAGTGACATCCTGTCAGCCAGCGCAATGTATTGTCTGTTCAGCATCCTTTGCATCATCCAAGTGTTGTCAAGGACAAAGTCTCGTAGGAGTGCCACTGGCGCTGGGCTGTCATGCAACCGAGCACCAAGTTTGCGAGCGAATGCCATGTACTGATTGGCACCGGCCACGCGCTCGCCCTCATACCGGGCACAGGCCCGGTCAACGACGGACCTATCGGTCAGATCACCTCCAGCGAAGGCCCTGGCAAGGAAATAGCCGTCCTCAATCGCCATGCCCATGCCGTAGCCACCATAGGGCGATAATGGGTGCACCGCGTCGCCCACGCCCACGAACCGACCCGAAGACCAGGACTGGAGGGGGGGCCGGTTGTATATCTCCCACCGATACATCCTGTCGAGGTCGGTGTGGTCAAGGACGACAGGCATGGGATGCGCAAACTGGGAGAGCAGGGCCCGCACATGCGCCACGGGGTCAACGGGCGGTGCCTCCTTTGGGTCGGACCGTTCTATCACCCACCACGCAAAGCCGGGCTTGCCCCCGTCGAGCTGAATTGGGTAATAGCTGGCTTGAACGTTGCGCGCGTTGTGGACTACGCCGACGTCGCCCGACAGTCCAGGCAGATCCTCGCACCATGCCCGGAACGCCCGTAGCCCAACGTGGAAAGGCTTCAGATCGCCGAAGGCCTGGGCCGCCGTCACGGACCGAATGCCATCGGCACCGATCAACAGATCCGCAACCACCTCCGCGCCGTTTTCGAAATGCAGGACGACGTCCTCGCCGCGATCTTCGTAGAACGTCAGAGCATGGCTTGGAAACAACATCCCCGGATCCAACACCTTCGCTGCATCGAGCATCTTCCCGAAGACAATTGGACGCAGAGTGCCATAAAGCCAGCCCTCGATGCCGAAGGCCTTTTCGGTCTCCTTGTTGAATGGCAAGACGGCCCTCAACTTGCCCTTGCTGTTGCAGAAACGCATGACCGTCTTCCTCCCGAAGATGTCGCCTATGTCAATTCCGTATGAACGCAGCACCGCCAGGACCGGCACCGGCAGCAGAACAGCGCCTCCCAGTGGCCTTGGCTCATCTGTCTTCTCGTAGACACGGACATCATAGCCTGCCTTTTTCATGGCGATGGCCGTTGAAATGCCGCCGGGCCCAGCACCCACGACGGCTACGCGCCATCCAGCTCTCCAAGTGCTCACCATTGTGCGCCTCCCAAAGAGGTGGGCTTGGCCTGGCCTTCTTGAGCGCCGCAGCCCATTCCCGGGTTGCGCCGCTGAGTGGGCTGTCCATGATTGTTGTCCTGCTGGCCCACGTCAGTCGTCCGCACCCCTGGTGTGACAGACGCTACTGGTCAAGTACTGAAAGTGCAGCACTACCCCGCAACGAGAATGGTAACAACCCATCACAGACTCGCACCAAAAAGTAATGGCGAAATCGGGGTCCACCAAAGTTCAGTCACTAAATTCCAAAGTCATACATATTAGTGCCGTGGCGCCCCATGCAATAACGTTAAATGTGCACAGAAAATTGGCAAAGTTTTGCTAGTATTAAGAGCACGCACACACAAGACACACTCGCTCATAACTCGCGCCTGAACTCTAGCGAGGGGAGACGCGAGAACGCACCTCAAATTTGTGCCGTTTCAAGTTGTTTTGTTCCATGAGGCGGCAGTTCGCTGCTCTGACGTTAGCAAGGCATTTGCCCTGGCGCCCCTGCCCGGGGGGCAACAGGCTCACGAGGAATTCCGCATGTAGACCCACCTCGGCTGATTTGGGATCCACGAACAACTAGTTTTGGCAGCAAAACAATTGCACCCGAATCCTGTTCCCACACTCAAACCGCAGAGTCAGCGGGTTTTCGCACGGCTTCACCCTGCGCTTCACAAGCTCAACATTTGCTCCAAGTATCAATGTTTGGAAGCACCTGTAGATAAGCTTCCACTCAATTGAACTCAGCACAACAAACGCATACCGTGATTAGGTTCGAGGGCATTCTTTTTTGGGGTTACTGGCGTTGTTATCCAAACATGCTGTAATGTCAAGACCTGAAACAAAAAGAGAACAAAAAAAATAACAAGACCGCAGCAAGCACAACACGCCGTGTCCCACCGCAGAGACACTCCCACCTGCGGTCCTCGCTGGTTCGGGCCGCGTGCTGTCTCTTCGAACGCGACGCCTCCAGCGCACTTCCACGGCCTAGAAGAGGAAGGATCGGCGCCCCGTTTGCTTGCTCACTGTGAAGATCCCTCCTTTTCATAGGAACGGTCGGCAACAACGATGGCAGAGTCGGCCTACTCCTTCTCCTTGACCACGTTCAGCCCCAGCGGCAAGTTGGTGCAGATCGAGCACGCCTTGAACGCCGTCGCTCAGGGCGCCACCTCCTTGGGTCTGAAAGCCACAAACGGCGTTGTGATCGCGACCGAGAAGAAGCTCCCATCGATGCTCATCGACGAGAGTACGGTGCAGAAGGTGCAGCTGCTGTCGCCCAATGTGGGGGTGGTCTACAGCGGCATGGGACCAGACTTTCGTGTGCTGGTGCGGAAGGCACGCAAGAGGGCGCAGCAATACTTCATGCTGTACAAGGAGAACATCCCCGTTGCACAGCTCGTCAGGGAGACAGCTGCCGTGATGCAGGAGTTCACACGTGAGTGGCCTTGGCTGCGGCTGGGGGGGAAGAAGGAAGGGGCGCATCATCCTTGTGATGGAGGGAAGTGGATTCTGGCCAGTATTGTGCGCCTGGGCTGGATGGCTAATGTCCAACAACAGATCTTAAGAGACTAGGCTGCCATGGTCACATTTTTTCTTATATCGGACGCAGCAGATCTTCCAGTCAGGAAGTGAAACCAAAGTGAATGGTAGAGCAGCGTAGCACATGTCTCCATCCTCCTGTTTGTTGCATTCATGCAACCCCACTCGAGAGATCCTCATCTTGGACAGGGCATTCGCACCACCGGACCTCATGATGTGGGCTCTCGTGGTGCGCGAATGACTTCCAAGGTCCCCATGGCCCTGACCAAACCACCGATATTTGTCATTACTGGTAGCCTCAGCTCATATCAGGTTGTATGCACAACATGCAACTTGTCAGCTATTGGATCCGTACTATAGCTACTGCAGCTCATAGTTTGTAGCACTGGCAATTCCTATTAGGGAACCTAAGTACACTAGTTTAGTGTACTGCAGAATCAGAGCCCAGGGTGGATATCCAAAGGTTACCAACAGTGGCCAGTTGAGCATTCATCACAAGAGCATATTGGGATGGCAGGATACAGCCTCAGAACAGAGAATACACAACCTAAGCTCATTCTGGATCCTTTGCAACCTCTGTTGCCAGTAGCGTGTTTATCAAACAGCCCACCCATTTAGCCATTTAGCAATAGGCAAAAGCTAGCCAACCAGAAGGAAGCCTGACAGTTGGGAACATTGGGATGGATTCTTGTTGAATGCATTGATGAGAATGTGGCACATTACTAGATTCTCAGCATGTAAATGTTGGCCTACAGGGCCGAAATCTGTTGTTGGTAGTCTTGCCAGTCTTGCCAATCTTTCCTGGTGCTAATGCGCTGATGCTGTCCCACTGTGCTGCTTAGAACGAGGAAGTGTTCGCCCATTTGGGGTCTCGTTGCTGATGGCTGGCTACGATGAGCATGGTCCCCAGCTCTACCAAATTGACCCATCGGGGTCGTACTTTGCATGGAAGGCCTCTGCCATCGGCAAGAACATGGTTAATGCGAAGACGTTCCTTGAAAAGCGATACAGTGAGGAGATGGAGCTTGAGGATGCTGTGCACACTGCGCTTTTGACTCTCAAGGAGGGATTCGAGGGCCAAATTACATGTCACAACATTGAGGTGGCGGTGGTGGGTGATGACAATAAATTCAAAGTGCTCACAGCTGCAGAGGTGTCTGACTACCTTGAGGAAGTGGAGTGAGGACAGCATTGCTTTGGGTGGGCCGTTCCCCATTCTTAAAGTGGTGGTGGGCCAATTATGTATGATGTACACTGTTCTTAGAAGTGAATTGGCCCGATGCGTCAGTCCATGTGCTATCTTTGTGCACAGCTATCAGACAATGTTTCTTAGCGTGTTGAGATGCTGTCGGTTGCCTGCACGCTCACAAGTGGATGAACTGTCTGGCACCTGAAACATATCGTCTGCATGAGGGAAGGTCCAAGTTGGGACGAACACATGTCCTCCGATGACGGTTGAAACCTAGCTCGTGGCGATTCGGGACCATGTGATTCAAAATTTGCAATGCATGTTGCAATGTGTGAATGGCACTGCAGTTCACCAAAACTCAGCACTCAGATGGGTTCATGTGATGATTACGGTAGCCCTTTCTAGCCATCTCTTGATATACCATTGGAGAATTTACCACTGCATGAACCACATACCATAGTATATGAACTCCGATCTTAAACTAGGAGCACGTCTCTATCCCTCGTGATTTCCTGGCACCAGTGGGCAGTAAATTGCCCGCATCCTAGGATTCTGTGGGCCCACTGCCCCTTGCAGATGCAATGTAGAGCTCCTTCGCTGTGGAGGGGGTTTGCCTTCTGTGCTTTTTGTCTCGTTCTGTCTCCTTTTCTTCAGATGCAGATAGTGCGAGGCATGTCAGGCTCACAAAGGATCTCGCCATGTTATCGCAAAGGTGCTCACAGATTGACAGGTTGCGGACTTGTCGGAATCTGCACAGCAGTTTGTCTTGCCAGGCAGCTGACACTCAAACATTTATTTTTATCAAGGGGCAGAGCGGCCTCTGGCCAATGCTTTTGTGTCCACGGGCATCGCAAAGGGCTATGATATCGATTGCTGTTCAATTGCATAATCGAAGAGCTACGTTGTCCCGACAGCGATCAGAACAGGAATTTGCTGGCGTCTAGACACATTCCAGTTTCGTCCAATGTAGCAAGAACAATTTGAAAATGCAAGTCGCTTACATCGTCATAGAAATAACACCGCTTTGGCTATCAATTGCCATAATATGAAGAAACTGGGAATCTTGCGCAATGCTTCACACATGGCAGTGGCTTTGAACACATGCTGAGCACATTGGTAGGCTTCCGCATTGTGAACACACAAGTTAGCAATCATCTGTTTCGACACTATCTTCAACATTGAGTGTATTCAGGCCGCAAATCTCTCCAGCAGCAGGATTCTAACCATTACACAACAACGATGGCTGCAATCAACCAATAACAGTTTTTAATCGATGCCATCCACCATAAATATCAGTTCCCAATGCCAAACCCTGCTCATGCGCTGCGTTAGTTCAAGCTCTTGACCATGTAATGCCCTTCCAAATGGTACCCGAGCTTCCGGTAGTAGTGCCTTGTGCCAACGCCAGAAATGACAGCCATCTTCACTGACCCATGCTCTGTCCTCGCAATTTCCTCCGCTACCTTCATTAGGAGGGTTCCATAGCCCTGCAGAAAGGGGTGAGTTGGCACATCAATTTCTGTGCAAGTGCAGAACGGTCTCATTCCACTCCCACACAATGGGGTCCCAATCTCACAAAACATTGTAAAGATTGTGCTGTGTTTCAGAGCCTACAATTGCAGGCTCGCAGCATCTGCCACAATCGGCACAATCCAACGTGCAAGCAACCATCACCTGTCACCATGGGTGGCAAATGTGCCCCTAGAACAGCACCTACAATAACACGACGTGACATGGACTTGAATGGGCACTTCTTGGCAAATTCATGTACAGTTGGTCATTTTATCCTCAACCCCCCACCACCAACCACCAGTGCTCCTTCCACCCACCCTCCACAACCCTGTATTTGTGCAATACACAGCTGCGCGACTTCTCACATTTGTTGGCACGGGTGAACATCCACAAGCTTGCTACCCTGCCTGTACAAGGAAGTGACTTTAACATCGTAGTGGAATCCTTGGCAACAAAATGCATTCAAACACTCCACCAAGAATGGCCCATCACCTGGTGCTGAAACTTCCCAGTGTCCCTGGCATGCACTGCAACGGCTGTTCCATACACGTGCAGCTCACGAACGATAGACAGCCTTCCTCGAAGCTCCGGCTGCCGACTCTTGCTGTGCCCTGCACACTTTCTCAGCCTCAGGAGCCCCACCAGAATATCCTGTCGAGGGTCCTCATATGACAGGAATGTCTCCCAGCCACCATTTGCACAATAGTCCCGCCGTATCAGTTCCACTTCTTCTGGGCGAACCTGCATTAAGGATTCGTTATTGAAGAACGCAGAACTGGGAACAGCATTTGTGCCATCAATGATTGTGCTGTAACTTTAGGTCACTTTGTCACAGCTCTTGTGGCCACGGCCATGACCACGGCCATGGTTCTTCAATACCTAGAAATTCTGCATACTGTGCCTGCTGAGGTTTCTTTGGTCGATTCGTGTGCAAACATAGCTGCAACCAGTGCCACAAGCGAATGACCTCTTCCTTATAGATCGATTGCCCTTCCTGCCATCATTACTAAGTCGGTGCGGACAGGGCCTACCTTCACAATTATGCACCATGGTTATGTGTTCAACAAGGGATGGGGAGTCGCCTGCAATCCTCCTGCTCAGTCGACAACGAAATCTGTGACAATATCAACAACGTCTGGATGCGGTTGGCTGTAGCTCATGTGCCTTGATCTGGCTTCAATGCTGGATATCAGCTAACAAACTATTTGGTACGTTCTGCCATCCATTTGACCAAACTGTAGGTGTGTGGAAAGTGACCTCGTTGGCATTCAACTTTGGACTCTTTCATGAATAGTACACCAAACTTCGTGCTTGCATCCAAGCACAACTTTCTGGTGGGCCATCGCATCAGCCAACTGCTGCAAAACAGCAGATGACGTTGATCTATGAGGTGGCCACGGCAATTTCGAATGGTATTTGATTTTAAACGTATCATGCATTTCAGCATTCAGCCTGTTTCCAATGAGAGCAGCAAATTGCAGCTGCCAGTTCAACCATTTGCAAAACCCAACAGAACTTGCTGTGTAGCCCTTTGCTGTGTGGGTGCCTCGCAAACGGTTCTGAAGCAGTGAATGATGGCTGCATTTTGACGTATTCCCATCTGCACATTGGGCACATTGGACCTTTCTCCTTGCCACCAATGGGTAGATTGCGAGACATGGACACATTGCTGGCACAGGATAAACACAGAGTCGAACATAGCACCTCACAAGGACAACGTTGCAGGCAGTTGTGCAACAGGCACCTTTGCACGACTCTGTTTGGCAAGGGAACTGCTTTCTAACCTTGTGGTGTAGGTCTTGTATCCCAACCTCCCTTGTTCGCACATCTCTGCACCGAAGCCCAAAATGTGCCATCCGTGACAAGGCGAGCTCCCTCAGGTTGCCTTTCTCCACTCCAGATGTGACCAATGGCATTGGGATGTCTCTTTGCACACGATAAACACGGACCCAAGGGGGAACAAGTGCCAATATGCGTGCCACAAGATCTACTAGCTGCGAGCAAAGACATGCAAAAACACTCAAACCCAGCCTGTCCTTCATTCATATACAACTGGATTATGCACAACACAAGTCCACTGAATATTTTCAAGAACATGCATTCCTGGGACAGCCAACTGGCGTCCACAAGCCCGTGATGAGCAACATCACTGCATCAACATTTCAATACTGTGTACCCCCCCACCGTTTGAAGTTCAGCATCAAAACTTCTGCTCCACAATGTTCAACAGACCGTTATTTGGGGTGTCCGCATCATGGTCCCTGCGGCAATGGTGACTGCTCAGTTCACATTGCCCCAAATGCCAGTTTTCTGCCATAGTGGCTCATGCATCCAGGGCCGCTAGAAACCACAAGCACTTTACAGACCCTCGCCTCGCAGCTGGGGCTGCACAACATTTTGTTGACACTATTATGTTCTCATTATTGCTCCGCAAGCAAGGCCAAACGTTACGTTACTATGTCGAAGGGCATAATCTACTACGTTATATGGAAGTGCGATCGCACGGTGTTACACGATCGTGCCCTGTGCAGTCACATTTCGCGCATCAATCCCTGATAAGGCTGTGCGACAGGCTGGCACCGCCACCCCCAAAGCAATGTAACAGCTGGCTCTGTACTCATGCTGTCCCAACACTTACTAATGCGATCGCAGGTTAGAGTATTGGTGCACATGCCAACCTGCGATCGCACATGACCGCATGACTCATTCAGTCATGGAGGTGCCAGGGGTCCTGTCAATACAGTGACCATGCGCTCAAAGGTTGAAATATAACCACAGTACCTGTGGCAGCCTGGGGCGCAAACATACCTTCTCCGGGGGATAGTTTTTGTACAGTCCTTTCTTCCATAGTTCATACAAGCCTGTCCCACGGATCACCAAAGTGGGGTAAATCTTGAGACCGTCACTTCGAAAATCTGGGTTCTCAAAAAACTCGTGGAAGCTTTCAATATCACGCTCCCATCCAACCTTGGGCAAGTCTGGCATCATGTGAGCAACCACCTGAGCATGTCCATACACAAGGCAACATGTTTCAGCACATTGTGAGCTGATCTGCAAAATAGGGCACACGTTATATTGCATTGTGGTGGCACAGTTTCTGAGCTGGAATCACAGGCAAAAACACAAGCATGATGGACAGCCCTGCAGCTCAAGACTTCGTCCAACAGCAGACTCACATCCACCACTGTGGAGGACAGCATCCTTGCTCAAAACACTGTCCAGCCCTTTTATGTGTGACAACGGTCATTTGATTAGCAACCATGTACTGTTGCACCAGCTTTTCGCAGTGCTTCCTTCATGCATCTTGTTCATGTTGATAGAATGGCTGGCCCTAACGGTCATTGGCCATTGCCATCAACTCGGCATTTAGAACCAACACACAACAGTGATCAGAATGCCAGGTGAACTTGATGGACCACCACATGTACACATGGTGGTGACCAGCTGTGTTGAACATTAGTTGATTCGTGTACAACCCACCCACCCACCTTGAATCCAGCATTCTTTGCTAATCTGAAACAATGTTTCACAGCATCCACAGTGTGACCTCTGTTTGTATCACGAGCAACATCTTCGTAGATGCTCTGTAATCCGATTTCAAGTCGAGTACAGCCATAGGACAACATCTGGGTGAGGTGCGGAACCTGAACAGCAATGAACAATCACACCCAATTAGTGGTAGTGACTGATGTAGGTCAGCTGCAGGAAGCCAAACAAGTCACACAACTGCATGTTTTCATCCAAATGGGTCTCCACGAAAAGTGAAACTAGCTGAGCCTTCATGCTGCTGTGGGGGATGACACAAAGCTGTGCAACCAGGGCCACCATCAGTTCTGGTTGCCAGGTGTACTGCTCCAATTTCGCATCATTGGTGTTGGCTGATGCTGGCTCAAAGGTTTGGGCAGCATGCCATTATATGTGCACCTTCACACGAGGTTAAGTGACTCCCAGCAGTTGCAATGCATCTAACCTGTCCCTTGGCATGTTGGCGAAGGATTTGGCTTGTCTACACTTGGACTCTTGCCCATCGTGTTGCATGTGCAAAGTTGGTGTTTGGATTTACATTACAAAGCCAACTGTTGCATTGTACATGTCTCAGGGACTGACAAGAGTCGTTGTACTCCTGCACTGGGTTCGCCAGAAGTCAATCAACAGATTGCAATTTCCATCACCTGCCTTGATTCCTGAGAACGGCTCTGGACTCCAGTGATAGTCACCTGAAAGCCAAATATGCCCAAGAAATATGTGCATGGACAATTTGACTGGTCCATTGAGTGAAAATTGTAGAGCTCAAAGCCAGCATGGCTTCTGACATTGATCCATCCACATCAAGTGAATCTTGCTGGTTTCAAACACAACCCTGACCATCGTTGTGCCGGGAGAGCATCAGTATTGCTGAGCATCAGTATTGCTGAGCATGTGTACACAATGCCTGAAACCATGATCTCAATACAAGGCGTGTTCAACAAAAAAATATGGTCAACACACACCTGGCAAAAGTCTGGCCGTGTTTCGATGGTGAGGCCAATGCACTTTGTCCGACTTTGTTCTGAGAACTTGACAGCCTCCTCCACGCTGCTTGAAGAGTGGCCTGAATAAGTCCAAACATGCCGTGTCCCTCAGCAAGCACACAGTCATAATCTCTTGCACTCCAGGTATCAAATGAATCCTTCTACAACTGACCTCAACTTCTTCTGGAATTAAAACATTCTCAACATTTCAGAAGCTTTTGGACCCACAAGATTGGAATGAGCAATGTACACAACTTGACAAAAATAAAGAGTCAAACAGAAACCAGTCAATCTAGAGCCCATGACAACCTACCTGAAAGAGCATCGTGCAGATTCCTGGTAAAGTAGTCTCTATAATCAACTGGCAATGACATGAATGTGCCCCCCATCAAAATGAACTCTACTTTGTCCACACTGTGTCCCAATTTCTTGAGCTGGTCCACTCGGCTTCTTGCTTGAACATAAGGGTTGTACCTACACCAAATATTTGAAGCACTGCTTATTTGCAGATGATGCCAGTGGCTTAACACAAGATATTTATGAGACACAGGGCATCTTGTGGAACAACAACTTACAGTGGATCAACTTGTGAAACAGCTTGGATGCATCGCAGCGCACTATTGCAACAATGACAGGAGCCACCAGATCACCCAGGATACCATTTGCGGTCATAGGTTGCCCACATGCATGTGAAGTCAACTTTCAAATGACGCAGCAACTGTAAATCAGGCATTATGCATACCTGGCCCGAATGGCTCGCATGCTGGTGGGCTCATACCCTGTGTAGGATTGGGTGCTGTATTCGAAGTCCGAGTCTGGTCCCCCAGGGCAGTATACACAGATGTTGCCCGTTGTGGCAATGTGGGGGCAGCGATGAGGCTTGGACATCACTGCGACCACTGCTATCCCTGATGCTGTTCGCACAGGCTTTGCACGCAACCTGGCGTCGTGCAACAACAAATCCTCAGGTGGCTTGAGTAATGAAGTTTGTCATCGTCGATGCTGGCAACAAGATGTTTGATAGAATGGGCAAAAGGACTCTAGAAACACTGCGCCAGTGGCAAGACTTGCATGCATACAGATGATGTCCAATCAGGCACTGTTTGTCTTCCCCCAATTGTGCATGTTTGTGCTGCATACACAGCATGTGCACGACCTATATTTCAGCTTGCGGAATTCTAAGGGGCGGGGTGTTTTCTGGGTGATGTAGCAGGCCAGGATCTCATTGCAACGAACAATTCGTGTGCGCAGTCAGATTCACAGCGGGCTTGCCTCACCACTGTGTGCTATTGTACAGCACAGAGTTATCTTCCTATTGCCTCGGTTGTCGAGGCTCATGAGTCAAGCACCCAGACACAAAAATGCCACAGCCATGGCCATCAGTAGTGGCTCCAAACACCTTCCACGCAAAATTTACATCCCAAGCATGGTACCTACTGAGGCAAGAGGATTGAGCGATATTCCTCTGGGACTGCAGCAATAATTTCCACAAGCTTGGGGGCTCGGCTCAAGCTGTACTTTTTTGCAACCTGTCACCAGTGCAGAGAGATAAGCTTCAACAACCAGAAGGTAAAACAGGAAGAATCAACCCTGTACCTAGTCAGCACACTGCCTTCAAAACAGTTTGAAAGCCCCCAATTCTACAGTGAGGCACATCCGCACTTGCAGACTGTGCTGCAGCTCCTGGGCTGTGGCCATCTCTGAACCCGATGACTCACATCAAAAGCTGGTTGGGTGCGAGGTCTTCCTCAAACGCGACAGGGCTGCAGATACCAAGCATGCATTCCACTGGCCCGAAAAGCTGCAGGTTCCAGACAAATTCTGCCATCGCATCCCTCCACATCAGATAACTCACCCCTTGTTTGATCTGATTGAGGTTCACCATCTTGCCTCCTGTTACGCCATGGACAAGCTGGCTCACGATCTCTGCAACCGCCTTTACCCTCGCCTGCCCAGTGCAAATCATAGCAATTAACACTTCACGGAGCCAAACGTCAGACACAGCTCCACAAGGCATTGTTACGAAGTGAGTAGGGAACCCACCACATGAATCAAGGTGGAGCAAAATAGCGAATCAGGCGTGCTTGCAATGCAATGCAGCACGCATGGGCCTGCACTGTTGCCAAACAGGCAACAATACGCATATGTGAGGTTTCGCCGTTGACTTGCAGCAACTGTTTGCCGCCGCATGGCCCTTTTTCAGAGTCCGTATCACCTCTTCACCAGACATTACGGGCTCCACCTCCGCCGTTCTCACTCGACAACGCTAACGCAACAGTTTCTCTTTTGCTCGAAAGCAGTAGGGGTGTCTGCTGCAGCCGTGGTGTGGGCAATGTGGGGAGTGCGGTGCTGGGAATGGCACGGATGAAGTCCTTGCGGGCGCATCCTCGAGTCATCCGCTGCATCCGCGGCCTCGAACGTTTTACTTGCCCTGGATCGCATGTGCATCAGTCTGACCTCCGCCTTATGCCCAGGGGACATTCTGTGCTCGTCTGGGTCGACTAAAGAGAGAAACTGCAGGTGTGGGCTGCTGGGTTGCGGAAGCGCATCGGTCACCAGGAAGGAGGAGTGGGAGGAAGGGCTGGTAAAGGCCGCAATGCATCCTGAGGAGGGAGCTTGCGGGACCGGCCACAGCACGGACATGGATGGTGTTCGAGGACAGGTTGTTGCTGCCGCAGCCTCAACGCACGAAGGTGGGTTCGGCAATGGTTTGGTGTGGCGCTACGCTCCAAATTCGCGATTAATGGGCAGGTGTGCAGCGCTGGATATGAAAGTTGGAACAGGCATCCATTTCGGTTGGATCGAACTGTCCATGAATACCTGCGGGAGAGGGATTTTGCCCGTTGGCACCACCTTGTGGTGACTGCAGAGACTGCGCCTGTTACTGTGAGACGTTTGACGGCGGTGCAGTTTTGGTTAATTTGGTTGTGTTGCGGAGAGAATCATGATATCCTCAGTTCACGACATGTTGTGTGGGGGGCTGGATGTTCAGATGGCGGCAATGGCGGGCTGAGACCAGGAGAGCGCGAACCGAAGGGCGGGGCTGCGTCACTTAACAACAGCCGAGGCGCAGCCGAAAATCGACAGATTGGAAAAGCAGCCTCAGGCATAGAAGCGAGATATCAGCACGTTCGGACGCTGGAGGGGCACCAGTCCGCAGTGTCAGGCGTCAAGTTCAAATCAGACAATGGGTCTCTTCTCGCAAGCTGTTCAGCTGATGGAACCATCAGAATCTGGGAAACGGAAACTGGCAAGGCGTTGCGGACAATGCAGGTACAGGGAAAGCTGTAACTGTTGTGTCCCGCATGTTTGCAGGTCCAATGAAGAACAGACCAAATCTGGCAAAACGCATTGCATGAAACAGCTGCCACAGTGCTCTGCAGATTGCCTGTGCCTGCACAGGGGGAGCATGTTCCTTGATCCCTGTCAAGATGTTGGCAGGTGTCCTTAAAAGAAGCAATTGCTTGCCCCCTATTATTCATACTCCAGACTCACTCGTTTGCATCATATACAACCACTGGTTGAAAAGAGCAGACAAAGAAATGTGCACTGCTGCCTGGGTGAATTGTCAGGTTTTGTGTGCCATCGTTTGGTTCAATGTGCTGCTAGTGCGACCAAGTCTGCTTTCTCTGCAGGGCCACAAGAATGGCCTCAACGACGTTTCATGGAGCAAGGACTGTCAATATTTGTGTTCAGCATCTGACGACAAAACAGCCAAAGTGTGGGCTGCCGAAACTGGACAGGAGCTCAGCACATTGAAAGGGCATTCAGGCTATGTGTTTTCTGTAAAATTCAACCCTGAGGGCAATTTGCTGGTAAGTGACCAGTTGCCATGAACAGTGGAGTATGGCAAGCTCGGTTGAACCTGCCCATACTTTTCTTGCTACTCGTCAACAACATCTCACCAACATTGTGGCCTATCGCTTCTGTTAGTTTTGTTACAAGAAAATTGAGTGAAATTGTGCAATGGTTTTACATCTAGGTGAGCGGCAGTTTCGATGAGACAGTCCGTATGTGGGATGCTCGAACCTCTGAGCTTGTACGAGAGCTGCCAGCCCACTCAGATCCAGTCACATCGGTTGACATCAATCCAGATGGCACAGCCCTGGTGTCATCTTCCTTTGATGGGCTTGTGAGGATATGGGACACATCAAACGGGAAGTGCTTAAAAACATTGATTGTTGACAACAGTGAACCTGTGTCCTTCACAAGATTCACACCCAATGGGAAGTTTCTCTTGGTGGCAACACTTGATGGGAAAATGCATTTGAGGGACTATGAGGCTGACAAGGTTGGTCGATATGTTCTGCGTCACTCGCCGTTGTTGCTTGACTGCCAGTCTTTACCTGTTGCTACCACAGACTTGTTAATTGTACAGCCATTTTGAACAGTGGAACAATCAACCTGAGTATGCTACAAGTGGCTTTGTGGCTTCGACAGAGCAAGTTCTGTATCTGCACAGTGTGTGCTGGTCTTTTCACTGTATAGGTGATCTTTGCAGTCATCGCTTGTTAATCACGCCTCAGCCATCTGGCGCAACGGCTTCCTAGCACCATCGAATGCCAGTGTTTGGGTGCAAAGAAAGGGATGCCTTTGCTGGACTACACAAGGCCACACAGCATCTGTTCATGCTCTGCCAGCAGAAGCCATGTGCAATGCCAAAATGTGCCATTTGCGCTACCCTGTTTCAGCACTGTGCAGAAGGGTATACCTTTCAAATAGCAACGCAAGCTGTTCGAAATGCAGAAATGCTACATGTAATATGGTATTTTGTTTTGTGATGTATGGCTATGGTGTGCTGAATGACAACATGTCTGTGTGGGCCATTTTATTTCTGTTGGCTCTCTGCAGGAACAGAAACTGATGAAATAACGTCTGTATGCAATTTGCTACATTTAAAAACTGCTGCCTGCCCACCCACAAGCCAGCAAGGGCATTCTATTGACAATGGTTTGCTGAAGACACCATGTCCTGATGGAAATCAGAAGGTAACTTTGCAGTATTTGTGCCATTGTGACATGCCACTTGTGAAGTTGACCAATGTGGAGGAATGGTTGTTCCACAGATAAAGAAGACATACAAAGGCTACCAAAACCAGCGCCATTGTTTGGTCCCTGCCATGTCACACACGCAGGGCAGACATGGGTATAGATGGCTTGTATCCGGCTCTGAAGACAATGGCATCTATGTGTGGGAGATAAACAAGAAGAAGGTACAGCCATCAATGCAAGCATGTTTATTTGCCAATTCTTTTGGATACGATAATGACTTCAACATGGACCCAAATTGACAGAAGATAGCTTCTGGAAAACCTGAATTACAGTGTGCATTGATGTTTGCATTTTGCCAGTGACAGCCAATGTCAGATGTGGGTGTTCATGCACCTTTCAACAGTCATTTGCTCTACCATGTCTATGCTGAGCATCAGAATGCAGTTTTCCTTGTCATATCCTGTTTGGAGTATCTGTTCACTATCATTCATACTGATGTGCACAAAGGACACTTCAGTCGTTGCAGTGCAATGCTGAGGGTCCAACTGGCGTTTGAGCCACAAAAACATTGGGTGGGCAATTTACGGATGAGCCTGGCATGTTGTCTGGGTGTTGAGGTTATTCAGGGTGTTGGGCATTGCGTGGCAACAGTGTGGAGGAGTGCCTGCTTTCACTGTGGCACTGCAAGTGGCACATCTAGTGGGGAGGAGCCGAAATTTGGCGCTGGGTTGATTCTGTTGATGTGCAATTATGACCACACAGAACAGAATTCGAATGTTTGACAACTGGTATAAACAACTGTTCGAGAACAGCAGGGTGTCCGCTATCGGCAACTCGTTTGGACTGTACGGCTCTAGCATGCATCGGGAGAAAGTCGCATATCCTGCACAGGAAATTGGATATAGGTACCCTCATATCCTAGATATGGAATGTGATGGGCACCATTTCCGGGATATGCATATCCAGGAGATGGCCATATTGCTAAAATGTCCGCTCCATATCCAGGATATGCAGCTCTTTTGCGACGTATGTAATTCGTTGATATACCCAGTGAAACGTTGGACAGTTCCTGGAGGATGCCGTCATGTCCACATTGTTCGTGCTAAATTTGCTTCCAAGAGCATTATGTTTACCCCATATGAATCAGACATGCGACGCCGCTGCAGATCCGAAGAGCATGTCACTTGTTGTGAAGCGCCAGCTATTCAGCCCCAAGACGCCACTGTGGGCCTCTCATTGCCCATGTATCCGTGGAATGTTTGCTGCTGCAGTTCATGCAACTTACCTCTGTGTGGACTGCTTGTGGCGATGCAGCTGTGCCAAAAAATTGAGGGCCGTGCAACACCGTCGTCGCCAGGAGAAGGCCACTGTGATGTCGTTTTGTGTGTTGATACCCATCCAAAGCAAATCATGGTTGCATCTGGGGCAAAAGAAAGAGATTGCAGTATCCGCTTGTGGCGAGAAAATGGTGAATAAGGGGATTGTCGAGCAGGTAACATGAAGACAGCAGTTTGTGAACGTGTGCACTGTAGGAGGCTGCTGCCATGCGCCCTTTTCAGCAGTATCAGATCTCGCAAACGCCTCCGCAGCATGAAAAATGCTGGCAGCGTGTTTCCAAAGCCTGTAGTGGCATTTTTTAATACCTGTGCGCCCCATTACAGGAACCATGGTGTGAATTGTTAAGCTTGATTTCTGTCAAGGTGGAAGTGCCAGTGCCAGTTGCAGCAACCCCAAGCTGTTTCCTTGTTACAGCAGAACACCAAGTCATTTGTGTTGGAAAATCACGTTGCCTGGAAGTGCTGTAGCGATGGACGCAAATGGATGTCATAAAAAGAGGAACAATTGAATGGACAGTTTGTTAAAATGGGACACCAGCATTGCACAATATTGAATTCCATGCATACGATGCTCGCAGGCTGCATGTACGTTCTGGTCGTGGTAGATTGTGTCCTCCAACCCTACATGCTGCCATGCTGTCAGGCTGTCAGGCCATCTTGTGAGCCATATTACATGTCTGCGTATTTTGGCAATCCGATCACAGCTGCACATGCTGCCGAGTTCGGCGCCGAGATGGTTCACCAGAAGTATCAAAACTCCGTGAAAGGAGCTCATAACCTTGAGAACAACAAGTGTCCTGCCCACAGTGTTTTGCCGACGAACTCTCAGGTGACCGCCAAATGGATAGCACTCATTGTGGCGCAAGCCACAAACATTATTTTCTTGAAAGGAGTTCTGCTGCGACAGCCAATCATGCAATGGGTTATCTTTCGGGATCGCCTCAATGTACCTTCGCCTACTTTTTGCACCAGAGAGGTTGAAGAGCACGACATGAGGAAAGAAATCGTGGACGTCCTCCCACTCTAAATGCATGTCGGGGGCGATTCAGCCACCGAATTCTGGGCGAGAAAGTCCCACGAGCCCTGGGTAGTCAAGCGCATGCAATCTGGGGGAATGTAAACAAGAGCACTGACAGAAACCGCAGTGAAGCACACAGATTGAATCATAAACCCACGCAACACGAACGATGAGAATGATCTGTGTGTGATCCCGCGCCGAATTCCCAACTTTTGGGATGTCAAACCGTTGGCATTGGAGTCAAACTGGTTGGACTAATCCCGATACCTGTGGGCAAGGGCCAACACTCGGAGAACGCCTAGCAGGTGTTTACAACTTCACAGACTGATGTCCACTTGGATGTATCCCCTCCAGAATTGGACAGCGCAACCTTGTGGCGCTGCACATTTTGTGGCAGCCATCCAAAGTGGCCCACTCTAACCATGTGCAGGTCAGTACATCAAATCCACTATGATCCATTAAAGTTTTATCAATTCTGGGAGTTCCAATCAGATTTCCTTCCATCCAGCCCTATCCCCAAGGAGGTGTCCCCATTTGTGAGTTGTTCCTGGCCTGTCACCCCTGATGCGGAGATTTCATCACTCTTGTACAATATGCGACTCAGCACAGAAAAAACGTCATTCCAATCCTCTACTCTTTGAGTTTTCAGATTGGAATAAAAACCCTGCTGCATTCCACACAGCTGCCATGATGGTGATTAAAGTGACGTGTAGTCATGAACCCACCACATCCATAGCTTGTCCATGTTAGCA